AAAATAATATTCTAATGAAAACAAAACATGTTCCTTTTCATGAGAATAAATATTTTATTTATAGTCTTTACGTCACATGTAGCATATGATTGTTATTAACGACCTTCGCGTCAAGTCCTGACTTGATAATTTGGGATAGTTATTTTTAATTTTATTTATTCGCGTTTGTGTACATTATTGTTTGCACACGCTGTGTTGTTTTCGATTGTCCTTCCACAATCGAACTACTAGTATTATAATATCCCAGTAATTGAAATATCTAGAATTCCTGACTTGCAATGAATCAATTGGTGAATACTGTAAAATGTGTAACTTTAGCTAGTATTTTTTATAGCTATATCCTCTTTAATTTAAGAAATAGATACTAGATAATCAAAATAATAATCAAGTATTGAGATATGTTTTAAAACAATCCACTTTCTAATGGACACTCCTGTATTCAAGTTGTTTGTTCCAGTTTCGTTATTCAAGTTTGTTAATAACCTTAAATTATCTGGAACACCATTATTATACGTGCATAGTCATAGTATTTTGAAAGTTGGGTGACGTCACTGAACTGAGAATATAAAGTAATATAATAATATCCCATAGAATTTTGATTATAATTGCAGGTTACGTAATGAGACGACTGGTAACTAATTGAAACATGGTATTAACAGCGATACTAGTATTTTAAAATAACACAATCCAGTTTCGACCCTGTTGGGAAGCTCGCACCAATGCCGCGGCGCGCTCTGATTCGGAGTCTACAATCGTCAGATCATAGACTTTCTACAATCTTGCAAATCTATACACGTATATACTAAGATGTACCCCTCACCACCACCCTAAACTTAACGATAACTTAATGTGTATATTCCACTGAATTGAATCTATAGTAGTCTGAAATAATTAAATTAAAATTCGACTTATATACTGGGTCGGATGACTCGAAACTAGTAATAGGAATTCATATATGTACTGGTTATGACCAATATTAATATGAATTCATATATGTACTGGTTATGACCAATATATAAATAGAAGATCTCACAAATAGTCGAAACAATCCAATTAAAATGCAGAATAAATTAGAGTTGAAAGTGTGCTCAACTAACATACATCATAACATGTACAGACGTTGTCAAATGACATTCCACATAAACAAAGGGTGGACATCAAAATGCGGAGGGATGTTTTCACCTCACGTCGCGCATAAACATGACATAGATCACAGCATTATGTGGCACACGTGCACGTGACAGATTGTTAATTAGAGATTACAACACCCATACTGACGAAATATCGGCTATTCATGATTGTTTACTGGTTACTAGTACCATATTTATCGCGTCATTAAATGTTATCGTTGATATAACATTATGATAGTTCGCGTGTTTTTGGTAATTTATTTCAAGCAAACCAATTCGTTCTACCATGACTAATTATATAGGACTGACCTTTCCCCAATAAGTACGTCACTACGTGCCAAATAAATAAGATTATTTAAATGAGCGAACGACCAACGAGGTAAATACGGGATTTTTATGACATTATAGTAGAATTTGTCCAAATTACAAACTGTTTTAATATTAACACAATCATAGATGTGCTATGATGATGATAATATTACAATCATGCTGCGTTATACAGGAATTGTGATGAAATAAAATGGCAAACAATGTTGAGTGTCTGGGGCAATGTGACAGTCGAGATATATTGTTGGCGTGTGGCAATAAGACCTAAACAGAACGCAATAACCACACACAGTGACACCAAACTGTTGATAAGTACAACTTAAACAAATTCGATCCAAAAAATGATCCCAAACTTACCTAAAATCACATATTTTTCAGATGGAAATGTTCTCGTTGACAGAATTGACAGAAGCTTTACTAAATGGTAGTACATAAATGCCCGGATGAAAAGTTATAAATAGTGGTTTAGTGACAACGAAAGCTACAGAACAGACCCGCATCTGTGGAAATGGTATCACGTGGCTCAATTACGACACAGCTCATTAGCATATTTAACAAACAAGCGACGGCTCACGAGGCAACCTCACTCCGTGCATTTAAACTACAATACAACCTGTTACCTATATACATTTGAAGGCAAAGTTATCCACACAAAGACGGGATATCCACGAAATCACGAGACACTTATTTTTTTTTTTTTTCTTCTGACAAGTATCCTAATTTTTGATTTACACTATTAATTTAGAGAAAATATACAGAAATAAAATAGAACTTACATTTTTACTAAAAACCTGTAACAAACAGTATAAATTCTTGATATGGCTGGGAAAGTGGTTATAGTAAATGAACAGAGTGAGTAACCGAACTTATTTCTATGGAAACAATAACTTTGTGATTTCGCTAAACCGTTAAGCCCAACTCTGGCGGCCATTTTGAAAATCGAAAAAAAACATATACACATGACGTTCATGATTTATAATCTAGTTCAGTTACTCTAAGTTTTTGATTTAAAACGTCCGTGTTTGGCATGGGTCCCATGCGACGTGTATGTACGTTTTATTGCGGCTAAGGACGCTGAACTGAAACTCTCAATGGATTTATTCATTGCAGTCTATTCATTCAATATTAGTTGCAACACAGTCTAGAAACTCAAAACAAACAGATCGTCAGAAATAGTTTTTACTACTGAAAATGATACGAATACCCACTACTAAAAATTAGAGAATTCAAGATATCGCCACAATATGAACAAATCCGATAGATAAAAATACCAGCTAGGGTACCTACCTACAAAAATCAATTAAGCAAGCAGTTTTCAAGTCAAAAATTTAAAAAAAATGTCACCAAAAGTGACAAAAATGTTGACTGATATTAAAGCAGTCGAAAATGTAAATACGGACGGACGGTGACGACAACGAACAGTCAGTAATAAGAATAGCTCCGCTCGGCTTTTTTAGGTGCTAAGAGTTGTCTTTTCTGATTACAAGTGTAGTTACGAATCTCCGCTACAAATGACCCGTGCTGACCATATGTCTTTACAAAAGCAACATAATATAATTTAAGAATGTGTGTAAGAGTTATGAGAATTTACATTAACCATCTGTTAATACTTAGTCTACTAAATATGGCCTGCATTCATTTACATATTTGACTCCCAGATCGCGGAAAAAGCTTGACGCGGTCATCAAATCAGTTGACAATCTATAAATACTTTTGAAAGAAAAATCGTAAAAATATCGTTTTTTTCTGATTGCAATTGTAAATTTGCCCAGTGTGAATGTCGTGCTGTCATTTCTTTCCTGTTTTTCTGTTCTATGAATTGTAATCATGTAATTTGTTTTCAATTTGATATATACAATTTATTCAGTAATTTGTGTTCAGAAGTATTAACACCCTGTATGGCACTTTTGTTTTTTGAGGTTAAATTAAGTGATTGAGAGTTTGATTAAATTAACAATTTCCCTTCAAAGTTATTATTACAGCAATAAACATACGTCTAAAGTCCCCCCACTAATTCTGTCTATTCGAAATTGACAACTTAAGTTAATCGTGCCATGGTTACAGAACGGTATTAGTAAGAGTTGTCCCTTATTCATCGATCTCAATGAATCGAACTTTGAATTTCATTCCGTTTGCTGGTTTCTGCATCACGTGGTATTTTTACCTGGATGCGTCATTATTATCCGCCATTTTGTCGTACTTATTCGTGGTTGTGTAACTAAGGTACACTAAGTCGAATGTTAGCCTGTAAGTTTATTATTACCTATTTGCCACGGGGAAATAGTGAAATCAACATACGAAGTTATCATATTCAAAATTCAGTAAAAATGTCCGTTATATATACCTACATGTACCTCAATATCTCACAATTTTTCTCGGTGACAATAGGGCGAAAAGGTGATGTACATATCATTCGTTCGACATAATTCGTTGGTGTATAAAAATATTACAAAATTTACACTATTAAATTCGTTCATAGAAGAAATGTCTGTTTATTATTGCCTATGGAAAACACTGAAGAAATATTTCACAGTTTTTCACCAAAAAACAGAATGGCAGTGACGACTGTATACGGTTGATTAAAATACTGAACCGATTATCTATAGAATTTGGCTGAAAAGAAAAAGTGTTATTACTTTATTCTCTAAAATATACGCCTATGCTTGAAACTCATGAAAAACATAATTTCTGCCTCAAAAAAAGACCAAAACATAGGTCTCTTAAAAATATAGATTGTACTACTGTATTACCTTTCGTCCCAAATTGTATGTGACAAATATTATATTTAGCTAATTTACATAGTTATAATATGGAAATTAGGTAATTTGAATAATAATTTGTATATCATTCAGAGGAACAAATTATCTTTATAATTTATGTGTGTAAGCACATGCAGTATGCCATGTCGTGACAAAAACCACCAGCTTTGCACTGACAATAGTGTTCATAACAACCCTATATTTTCTCGCTTAAAGGGCGGTAGTCGTCGCGCCACGCATGTGCGACATTTGTGTTGATAAACTTTGAATTTCTCACAATCCAATGTGCTTTTCTAATCGAAATCACAAGTATGAGTTTTGATCTGGGCACGACTTGCATTGAATACCGCCAGTGACTCCTTCGATACCTTCCAATCACCTAAAAATGCCTAATTGGTAATGTCTCAGTTTGTACTCGTTGATCTGCGCAAAAGTCAAAGTCGCCATCTTTGTTTATATATCTCGCGCATGCGTGCGCGACGACTACCGACATTTAAGGTTAAGAAATCTTTGTCATTTTCATATAGGAATTTATTTACGTACGTGTGTGTTCGAATGTCGCTTGCTCGTAAACTTCTACGCGTAAGTGACTATCGTCCACAAAACAACACTGTCGATTTCTTTCATCTCAAGTTCTATGCAACTGCTCGTAAATTCAATTTTCGACAGTCTTCAGGCTATTATAGAGTCTGCACTGACGTTTTTTGTTTTATTATTATTTTCGATCACCCGGTAGACTGAGTTTTTGCGTCATCCATTATCTCTGACGTCTTGTTTATAAAAAACAAAACCATCGTTCCAAAGGCTAGCCTAAACACAAAACCTTCGTTCCTCATGCCAATTTCATCGTTCGGAAAGTTACAATTCGCCAACTAGCCAACCCATTGAAATCCACTGAAGCGACCACATCAACATTGTGAGAACTCAACAGGTGAAGAAAAGATGAATTATCACATTTTATCAGATATCACAGATAAACTACCAATAAACGGGTATTTTTAGCTCAGAATAAAATATCCAAATTTGTAATGTAAATACATGTTTGTGAGTCTTCGCACGAAACGATATCATTTGCCTGTTACCCATAACTAAGACGGGTTATTATTAACCCGCGTGTTCCTTACTAGACGTAACTGCATCACTTGGTATATACAAAGTCGAGGTCGAGTCAGAACCTCGGGGATTACTAATATCCGGTTTAGTTATTGGCAACAGGCGAATGTGGACAGTATAATATTGTGTTATGACCATCGACATTCTAAGTGCGTGCACATACTCACGATGAAGACATGGCATATCTTATCTGACACATAATTTGTTTAATCGTGTCAACTTTTCTTTACAGCTTCTGAGCGGAAACCGATGAAATTCAAAAACTATTCCAGGACCTTTAAATATGACCGGTTTATGCCGGAATATCTATCCAACTTGTCTTCACACTTTCATCTCACTGGTTCCCGTTTTCATTTAATAAGAGTTCACATACCTGAATGTGCTATCTCGGCTAACTGTACAATGTGCGAACCGATACGTCTTTCGACTACTACTGATACAGTCCAGAAAGTGACCCTTAATGCAATAGGTCAACTGCTACCAGTCACGTTTTCGCGAATTTGAAATTCAATATTTGTAAATCAACGAGAATGTAATCGGACGTGTGGGTCCACGGTAACAAACTCGATCATCGGACCCCATGCATCAAGAGTTGTGGAGTTCGTTATTTATTTCCTCTAATCGTCAACTACAGTCGTTATCTCGGTCGAGGGTTTTTATTTCCACGACTGATAATGGGATCCACATTTCCAGCCGACTTATGATAAAAAAAGAGCCACATTTTGGAAGAGAGGTTTGCGAGTCCTTACGGTGGGTGGCGACACAGATTTTCATTTCGGAAAGAAATAATTTCAATGATTAAGTTTTTTTTTTTTGGACCAAAACACTAACGTAAATCAGCATAAAATCCCCACATTAATACAAACTATACAGGACGACCTTTGAAATAAAGGTCGACAGAAGTACTCAACACATTTAGCCTATGTTACTCTTGTAATTTGATCTTCAAGAAACCTTCACCCAGCTACTAAAAATAAATGATTCGGGATGAACAGCCATGAAAAACCGGGAAGGATGTTCCATTTCTTGAAATAAGATACTTGCATGGAGCCTTAATAACCTTGAGTAAGCGGTTTGCCAGCAGCGAATTGCGCTTATAAAACCACAACGAATGCACAAATTCAATAATGGATGTTTTATAATCATCAACTGGCGACCCCAAAACCGTATCAGTTCGGCGATGAAATATAATTCTGTCCCAGTAACCAAAATCTTTAAATTGACTTCCATTTATTATGCAATGATGGCATTCTTTCTGCTCACGCCACATTCACATAGGACAACCCCGTCACGTAGATTGAAGCTGTTCAAAAAATTCTCGTTAAGATTTTTTTTTTTATTCAAATTGTTTAAATTTTCAGGCCAAAATATAAAGTCGTGTTTTAGATTCCATAATATTTGTTACAGGCTTGTATGAGCACGTATGTCTTATAGCGAGATGTTTGATATAGTGATCGATTTCGATAATTCGACAAAAGCATATATGTACGCCGTTAATAATACAGAGAATATTGTAATGAATGGAGTAATATTATCGGTAACATCGATGGTTCATGTTGAAAAAATAATACCATACCATGAATCTGGGGGTTACGAAGATAAAATACTTTTCACCATCATCACAATAAATCATGGTTTTGCGTTCGTGGCACACACGATGACATCGGTACAGACTGTTCACAAGTCTGCTCCTCATAAAACCAGGGACGTATTGTGTATTATAATGAGTCAGCGTATATGGTATGCACATGAAACGTTCCATAAGGTCACAGGTCTCGGCAACAACATTATTTTGTTTTTGAGGACAACATATGTTGATCTTTATTTTATATCCATATCAGAGCGTCACATCGATATCACGTAGATGAAACCCACCGCAACGCAGAATTTCACACGAGAACTTTTTCGAAGAGTTTTAAAATATTTTAACATTTCAATGCAAATAACTACATCGACGTTGTCCTTGGTTGTATAGCGTTTAACATTCAATGTCATCTTAGCTTTCAGACAAACAGCTGCAATTCTTCGTATTTTTGTTCGACAATTATTTAAAGAATACTTACAAGTAAAATTCGACAGCCGCTACTAAAGACAGTCGTCAACATGGGCGATGGTATAAATGACGTATTCGATAAACTCTTGATCTCCGTTACATAGAGAGTGTGTGTGTGTGTGTGTGTTTTGCTCAAATCAGACTCAAACATCCGGATTTTCAGTGGTTTGTGGAAGTTATTTATACACACGTTTCTTTGAATACAGGATGCAAGTAATTCGTGCGGTGAAAGTCTTTAAAACTGAGCTCAATTGATAATAAGTTAAAATACCTACCGTGATGACTATAAAATGATGAT